TGTCACATTTGTTGAAGGAATCATTTTAGGAATGAATATGACTGCTCATCACATAGGTCATAGATCATGTAACACAATTTTCACGCTCACATTATGCTCATTAGTCCCATATACAGAGTGCAGGTAATATGTCAGAGTGCTTATATTCAAGTTACATTCTTCAAGAAGTCAATCACGAAAAATATGAATTTCACTATGGTTTAGACATACGTCACAAATCATTCATCATATGTTTCATATGTAGCCTTCATTTTATATTACTCACAATACGCACTTTTGTCACGTATACAGAAATTAAATAGTATGTTGATTAGCTTTGGATTAACCTTGTGACTGATAAAATTGAAGCACCTATCGGTATTCTATTTGCCACGATGACCAGCATTGAATTTCTTCTGCTGCAAATGTGATTGTATTACTCAATTGATCATCGTAGTATGAAATTCAATGATTATTATTTTCTTTGGCGATTGTATTCGATTTATCGAAAACAATTCGGAAGTATGTGACGTGACGTTCCAATGTGGGTGAAATTGTTCAATTTGTCATCGAAATCAACTAACATTGTTACCTGTTTTGTTATCTTTGACGGCTGAATTAGGTTTTCACCGAGAGACTTCCGAATGCCAGCTGAATTTTTTAATTTTGAGATGCCAGTTTTGTACTGAAAGGACTCTGCTATATATATGTGTGTGTGTGTGTGTGTGTGTGTGTGTGTACACACACACACACACACACATATATGTATATATGTGTATATACATGTATGTACAGACTCATAGCTTATTAGATCCTATTTTTGAAATAGCCAGAGAAAAATGCACACAATGCCCAAGAACTAAATAGATTATTTAAAGTAATTATTAAGTTATAACTCTATTCTAAATATGATACATTTATATTTCTAGTCCGAATTCATATACATAGTACGCATTTAATTACATTATTATCAATAAAACTACACACATCATATATGTTATTTCTAACATCCATTGCTTGTGTGTTAACCATGTAGTAATCTAAACCTATTGTGAGCCTTCCATCACTACGAATAACAACTAATTATGTAAATGACGCGCAATCATTTAAATAATACAATGACACATGCAAGATTAATATAGAATACAAGATTACTAAACTACTAGTTTTTAAATTAAAAAATAAATAAACAAAGGGTTCATCTTTATTCAATACAAAGAAGAATTTATGCTAACATATTTGTATGCAATTTACACAAAGAATAATGGAAAAATAATCCATTGAAATGAATATGGAGACAAGAAGTACGTGGATGTAATTTCTTGATCTTGATTTTTAATAATAAGATTTGATTCTTCAAGAGATTTTTTTGTCATGGATTCCTTGCCAGGTTTGATATTTTCTTCCAAAAGATGTGAATTTGCCTCTACAAAGTTGGCCCATCTATCAAAATTGAATAAAGCTATTCTTATAAAGTAGCTTTATAAAAGTGAAGATGCCAAGTGTGCTGGCAAAATGTAGGCCATTGATTTGAAATAATTTAAAATTTTATTTTTGAAATGATTGGTGTAAATGTTATTTTGTAACCTAGATTTGTAAGTGTAGCATGACTCATCAAAATTTGGCTCATGCTTGTGCGTGGTACATCTACTTGCACATGCATGACTTCCTGAAATCAACATTAGGTGCCTTCGCATGGTACAGATGAAATAATTTTTTTAGTATCAAAGCTTTGGAAATCATCGTTATTTCAATTAACTGAGTTTTATAACAAACGATAAATATACAACATTAAGCTATAATTTTTTAAAATTACTCCTAAATAAACTTATTTAATATCCAAAATTAGTGTATAAATTACATTTTTCAATTTACATCATGAATTTCATTAATAATGGATAAACATATTCAAAACATATGTTTAGATAGTGAAGAAATAATAATGCATGAAAGTTATAAGATAGGAACTTAATTTATTGAACATAAATAAACTCTAATAACCAATTCCATCTACAATTATATGACAGATAAGTCCAAAAAAATTAAAAAAAAAAATGTATTTACTTGGTGGGTTAAGCTGATCTCACATGACCCATGCAAATTCGTCTAGGGACCCACCAATTTATTATCTCAAAAATTTTAAGAAGTAGGGGCTTGAAGACAAAAGGTGAGTAGTTGGATACGCGTAAAAGAAATAGATAAACGTTGAAGTATATTTTCAAGAATATCACAATTGTCCACCCACCACCTCCCCATTAAGCCCTTGATTGAGTTCCATTCTTTTGATAAGAATAAATTTTTAAATAGTGTATTATTGAAAAATATGTGATTAGATTTGCTTATAATATTATTTTATTGAAAAACGTGTGGTTAAAATGATGTCAAAATACTATTTAAATTTTTTTTTCAAAGAACGAGGATCAAACAGGGGCTATTTGTATGCCAATAGAATGAACTCTTCTACACTTACAGAAGATAATGTCACAGAATGCTTACAGACATCTCACAATTTTTGGCCCACACACATTTTTGACATTTTTTATATATCATGGGGTCCACATACATGTAACTATTCTGGTGAAGTTCTGTAAGAAAAACTTCTGTAAATATGGAAAAACTCCAATGGAATTACCAAATTTCCTGTCATTACAAATTTTAAAAAACTATAAAATGTAGTGGCCCAACCCAATATTTTTGTTGACATTTTGAAGTTGGTGATCTTAATTTATGCTCGTTTAATTGGCATAAATTTTATAGAAAATGTTATATTCGAGAAATTTGTTTTTTACTTTTGGCAGTTTGATACGAAAATGGAAATGAAGTTCAAATTTCAAGGTACAAACACCTAAAGTATGTTTTTGGCCAATTCCATGGAAATTAAATTCCTATGATTTTTTTATGGTTTTTTCTTTTCCAATTTACATGAAATTAGTTTGCCTTTTCCACATTTGCAATCATACGAACCATTAGTGATTTTATAAATAATTTTAGACCTTTAAACTATCCGCCACGCTAAAAGTAGATGCCTTCATTCTTTTCATCAAGAGACTTGCTTTAAGAGAATTAATTAGTTGTCAAATGATCCGAGACCAATACCAATAGTATCTAATTATAGTTTTATTAAATATTACAATGATTTTATGCGATTATATTTTCTAAAAATGCTACTACGATAGAATCCATCACGACAGTTCATTTAATTGGTTTCTAGGCGGCAACCCAATATTTAATATTTCAACATTTAGAGTTTTCTTCTTATATATTGATAATTGAATCTAACGTTCAATACGATCCAATCATTATTTGATTATATTTAGTCCTTTGCACATTATTTCGCACAAAAAAGAAAAAAAAATTAAAATCATTTTTGTTCCTAAAAATTAATCAGAAATAAAAGAATGTCATAAAAAGGCACCGTGGTTACCTTAAGTTTGAGTTCATATTCAATTGACTTTATTCCATTCTTTACATTTCCACTTGCTTCGACCACGGTATATTTGAATAAGAGCTTTGCAGTCGAGCTCGTTTTCTCGAAAAATAAGTTTTTCCAGCTATATTGGTGCCTATGCGGATTGGCCAAACCGTTCATTTAATTCACTGAGTCACTGCTTGTGACTGATTGCCTCTTAGCTGCCTATTCACGTAGGACAGAATAATCTTGTGGGGGTTGACGCCTGTAGTTGCTGACGTCTTTTCGGAAAGGGGGGGGACTCGATGTAGCTTGTTTCATCGGATGATGTTCTAGTAGAGACCCTTATTGTAGCTTAAAGAGGTATTTGAGTCTCATTATTCTCAAAAATCATTTTTAACCACATATTCATTAATAAAATAATATTACACGTAAATTCAAAATTTTTCTTTAATTTTTAATTATATATTCTCCATCAATCAATTACTATTTAAAAATGCATTGTTTCCCTTAAAATGGGGCTTAAACAAGGCTAAATTGTAGTTTAACACCTCGCGCACCCTTAAACATGAACAAAACTTATGGTCAAGCACAAATAGTTAGGCACAATAAGAGATTTTAAAAGTTCTAGCTTGCAAAATAACAAAACTATACAGAGCATCATCACTGAAAATGAAGTCTTGCTATTGACTAACAAAAAAAATGATATAATCCATATCTAATGTTGCTTAAACTCTAATTTACTTACTTTTTTCTGAATTTGAAAAGTCTCATTCTTATTAAAATATACTGAATGTCTATTCGACAGTGCTTTACGTTCATATCCATTTTCGTTGAAATTTCATTTTTACCCTTGATGTACATGTTTAGACGACGAGATTGCCTTCTTCGTAATTTTCCCCAGCGATTAGATTAATGTCCATTTTTGATATTGCATGAAATTTGATGACAAACACATTAGTAATTTAATCAAATTATAGGTTAAGAAGTCCCACACGTATGCCAAAAAATAAGTTATTTTTCCATAGTTCCATCTGGGCAGATTGCTTGAGCCTAGCAGATAACTTGCGAAAACTCCTAAACTATGGATGAAAATTGTGTGATTGATATTTTATAAACACTTCCACGCCATACCCAAAGCTTTTATTTGGGTCTCATTTTATCAAATTTTTTTTATTTTTCTTAAAACTCATTTGCAACCATACTTTTCAATATAATGATATTACATGTAAATTAAAACTTTTCTTTATTTTAATCACACATTCTGCAAAAATCATTATTGAAAAATGCATACTTAATCTCAAAATGAGGCTCAAAGGAGGGCAAAGAGAGGAAATTCGGGTCTCGTTTGCACCCCATTTTCTCTTTTGGAGAAAATAGATTTTAGCTTTTGGGCTACATTTTTGTCAATATATATATATATAACGAACTCCCAGTTCTGTCTTTTTTTTATCCATAATTCCTAATAAAAATATATAGACAAAACTTTCATTAGAATTATTCTGGTTAATCCAGAACCGAAAGTACAATCCCCGAATCTCTGAAATTGTATAAGTGGAAATTAGTTTATATTCTATTACCTTCATTCATAATAGCGAAAAATATTGGACGTATGTTATTATTGCAACTTCCTGAATGGTATGAGGATTTAGAGGAATGGAATAGGGAGATGCATTTTAAATGTACCTATAATGGTGTTCAATTGTCCGAAACAGAATTTTCACAAAATTGGTTGACAGATGATATTCAGATAAAAATCTTATCTCCTTTCTGTTTGAAACCTTGGCATAGATCTAAACTCCGATTCTCTCATAAAAATTTAATAATGAAAAAGAAAAAAGAAAAAAATGATTTTTGTTTTTCAACAGTTTTGGGAATGGAAACCGAACTTCCTTTTGGTTCTCCCCGAAAACATCCTACAGCCCCGTAGCTACAGGAACTTTTGTGTACATAGCATTGACCATCACCAGTTGGTTTCTAGTAGTTTCGTGGATTTTGGCCCCCTTCATCTTTAATCCTCTGGGCTTTGATTGGTTAAAAGCTGTGTATGATTTTGATGATTTTATGAACTGGATATGGTACCGGGGAGGCGTGTTTGCAAAACCTGAACAGAGCTGGGAAAAGTGGTGGTATGAAGAACAAGATCATTTAAGGACAACTGGCATTTGGGGAAAGGTACTGGAAATAATTTTGGACCTCCGATTTTTCTTTTTCCAGTTTGGAATTGTGTATCAGTTGGGCATTACTGCTGGAAGTAAGAGCATTGCTGTTTACTTGCTTTCCTGGATATACGTGGTCGTGGCTCTTGGAATTAGCGTACTATTGGCTTATGCTCGGGACAAATATGCTGCAAAGGAGCACATATACTATCGCTTGGTTCAGTTCCTTGTTATTATTCTTGCTGGAATTGTGATTGCTGCTTTACTGGAGTTTACGAGTTTCAAATTTCAGGATGTCTTCACCAGTTTATTGGCTTTCATTCCAACTGGATGGGGAATCATTTTGATTGCTCAAGTCCTGCGACCCTTCTTGGAGAAAATGGCACTATGGGAGACCATTGTTTCTGTTGCTCGTCTGTATGACATTTTGTTTGGAGTTATTGTTATGGCACCTGTAGCCCTTCTATCATGGTTGCCGGGGCTCCAAAACATGCAGACAAGGCTTTTATTCAATCAAGCATTTAGCAGGGGTCTGCACATATCCCAGATTGTGGCAGGAAAGAAACCTAAGGCCGATTTGTGATATTATGAGGTACTTCTTCACCTTTTATTCTTCTGTAGTACAACATGATGGATTCCAAAATGATACTGTTCTCAATGATAACATAAATATGATGCCTCCTGGTCACATTGAGCTTGGGACAATTATGGGACTCAGAACTTTCAAATTAATGCTGCTGGTTTTCTTTTCAAGATGGTGCTTCCACTATTTTATATATTCTCATTCTAGGTGAATTTTTTCAGTGTTCTGTAGTTTTTATTGGTTTTGTTTTATGATATGTATGATTTTAGATACCATCAGGAAACAAAAATTCTGTGCACCAATTTTGAAGCTGCTTTCAAGTTTCAATATCCTTGTATTTTATTCTCTACAATAGAATGTGAGAAGTTCTTACAATGCATTTTGAATTTATTAGTAGTACTCGCCAATAATTTATAGTCAAGTCTCTATGCTCATAGCCTTTCAGCTTCTTGGCTTTGTAGTCTTTCGTGTTCCAATACCTTTGTATTTTATTCTCTACATTAGAATGTTAGAAGTTCTTAGTCATAAGAGTACACGTGGCAGTTTGAATTTATTGGTAAGTCCTACTTGTCAATAATTTATAGTCAAATCTCCTTGCTCATAGGTTTTCAACTTTTCTTGGCTTTGTAGTTTTAGATCATCCATGCAACTGCTGCTTTTTGCTGATGCTTGACATTTCGATGCCTTTTCTCTTGGGCATGTCACTACTTTTGATATCTTGGTACTTTGCAAGATATACTATGCTTGTAGAATGAATTTAAGTTATTTACTTGGCTAAGTTAAAGCCGTAGTATGATGGCTTGATTCCATTCACAAAAAGGTCCGCATTCTGTGCTGTCAATTTTTGCTCTATAGTCTAGTTTAGAATTTTTATTTATTTATTTTTTTTTTAAACAACAAACTTCGAAATGTTCAACACCAAATTTAGAGTAGAGCATTGCTGTCTTTTAATAGTTAGTTAGCACGGAAGGGAACTTCATATGGTCATTGTCAACTTCAATTTTCCACGAAGTCATTTGCTTGTGTTTCAATATGGAGTTTCGTGTCAGAAGCGTATTGTTTTAGTGACCATGATAGTTTACCTGTTTGAATTTTGTGAGTGACATCTCTTATTATCATTCTTTGCACATTCTGCATTGCTCTTTTTATGTGAAAATAATTAGCGTCTTAAATGCCTTTCTTAAAAAATCTCCATTCGAATCAAATTATGTTTGCAGGTTGACAGTTGAGTCGTGGATTAGATATGCTGCTGAACTTGGAGGCTCTGTTTGTTTTTATGTTCGTAGAGGTTGGTATCATCATATTTGCTGAAATCCGAAGAAGCAGAAGATTCTGATATGTTTGTTTCGTCCTCTAATTGTTGTAAGTAGCCAGTTGTTTTCACACTGATATGAGATATTCTTTTTTTGTGTCTGATGTATTTATTCTTAGTAAAATAGTTTAGTAGCTTACACATATACATAGTGCAAATTTTGTTATTTTGGAACTCGGCTATTCAGATTGATTATTCATTTGCTTCCAGTGACTGATTTTTCAGATTATGCTGTGTACTCTGGTTTATTTTCTTCTATATGGACAAGAGTAAGTAATAGTTAAGGCATCTTCATATTCAAGGCCTCCATCAATCGACGTAGATAGTAATTAAGCCAGCCCGTCGGTCCGACACCACACGAATATGGTTCTCTGAAAGAAACTTCCTTATATCCCAGCACCTTAGCCCCTGCTTAATGGCCTTTAGAACCCAAAAACAAAGTTTTGAATTTTTGGAGAATGTGCAGTTATAAAGTGTGAAAATGTTTTGAGTTTATGTGCAGAATATTTTGTTTTGTGATTGTGTGGTTAAAAATGAATACGTAGAAAAAAAAGAGTTTTTGGATAATGGGTGGCAAAAGGTAGCTTTGTCCATGTTTGGTTTCAATTTTCAAATGAAATTTTTTATATCTAAGAGATTAATCCCTTGTTTGGCCCTTGCTATAATGAGAATTTGGGGAAAATGTATTTTAGAATAGTAATTTTTTGTAGAATTTTTGGTTGAAAGGGAAGAAAAATTTTGGGATTACTTGTAATATTATTTTATAAGAGAATGTGTGATTGATAATAAGAGGGAGAAAAATAAATTATAATTTTAATGAGAATCAAATGGGGAATAAGAATGACTCATAAAACTAAGAAACAATGTTTATTATTTCAAAAGTCATATATTAATTAAATTTTATTTATGAAATAATTAATTAAAAATATGTTTATTTAATTAAATATATTATTGTAACAATTACATTCTTATAAGTCACAACTTATTTTTCGATCAAAATTAATTGATTACAATTTATTTTTCGATTACTGATAAAAAAATTTATAGATTACAATTTATTTATCAATTACAACTTATTTTGCAATTACAAATTATCAAATTAATTGGTCATAATTTAACAAATTTTGAGTCATAATTACAAATTTAATAATAACCACACATTATTCCAAGTCACATTATATACTAGTCACAGATTAACAATTTATTGGATATAACACTCAAATATTCAAAAACACTTGTCCCATCACTACTATCACCATGTGCACCACCACCTTTAGTTCCCCCACGACCATTTCGCTAGCACCATCGCAGCACTCACAAAACTACACCACCACCATAAAACTGCACAACCACAGCGCATAACGCACCACTGTACCCACATCACACAACTATCGCACTCCATAAAAACCATCGGCCACCACAATCCACGATTCTATCAGCCATGGAACAAATCAAAATAAAAAATAATAAAAAAATATCTGCGATGAAGAAGCAAGGAAGAGTGCCATTGCCGGAGGGATGACTAAGGAGAAACACATAATAGTCATATTGTTGCTGCATCTCTATCACAGTCGAGTGATGCCACATCTCGTCACACTTGAGTGATTGAGCATTTTCCCTACGAGCGGCGGTCACAGTCCGCTTTATGCAATGGTGGCACGCGGCAATGCATCGTCCGAATGTCGACAAAGAGTGGAGAAGGTGGGGAGGGAAAATTGAGAAGAGAGTGAGAGAGAATAGATCAAAATATTTTAGGGTTTGAAATTGGATGGGGGTAAGTGTTTTGGTGGGTGGTGGGTTTGTAGATTTATTTCATTTTATAATAATATTATTAATATTTAAATATTATATTATCATCTAATTTGTGTATAAACAAATTTAGAATCTTAATTTTGAAGTTGAAACTTAAAAAAAAATTTGATTGGGGTGTAATTTTCACATTTTTAAAAAAAAAAATTTGATTGGGGTGTAATTTTCACATTTTTAAAAACTCACTTTTCCTTGAACATATTTTTAACCATATATTTCACTGAATTTACTATTTTTATCAATTTTTCAATCGCAATATTTTATCAATTTTTTACTAAATATTATTTTATTATAATTTCTTAATCTAACAGGGTGTTCTTCATTAAGATTTTGATGAATTTTAAAAAAAATTATAAATCCTAATGCATTTTATAGATTTGAACGTATTCCCATAAATTCTATAAGAATCTCATCAAATATGATGAAATTTCAAAAAATTTGGTTATATGTATTTTTAAGTTTAAAATTCATCCAAATATTTTAAAACCCTTCTATTAATGAAATCTTTATAAATTCACTAGTTATTAAGGATATCTAAATTTTAAAGGAAATCAGTGAATTTCATTAAAATCTTAATTGTGGATACCAAAATTTTAATGGATTTCGTTAAAATTCATTAAAATCTTAATTAAAAACATCTAAAATTAGAAAGATTTTTATAATTCATCATAGTTTCAATTGAGGACACCCTTATAAATAAATCAAACCTGGACTTCATTTATTACAAGCACATTAGGTTAACAAGCCATCAAATTTTGCCACTTTGCCAAAATAAATTTAAAAGATGCAGGGACATCTGTAGGTGCTATGATGAAAAAGCCATCCGTGTTTAAAATAATTCAACGATGAAATGCTATGTTAAATTATGTCAAGGGTTATGACACTGTAACATGATTCCTAGCCATCAACATGGACCCTACCATGTAATTGATAAATAATCTATTTCTTCTTTTCAATAAGGATTTCAAATTCTTTGAAGTTTGACTTTTATCACATTGTTATTTTCAAATGAAAATAGTTGCTTCAAACCCTATTCTCTATTTTAAATTTTTGAGTCTCTCAGATGGAGGCATGAACGAGTTGTTACAAGTGCTAACTAAACCTTTGTTTGGTCCATTTTTTTAAAACTCATTTCAATCACACATTTTATGAGATTTGTTGACCCTCAAAATCAATTGGATCGAGTGGCCAACAAAATCTCGACCACCCTTCTCCTTATAGATATCATGTGCACATTGAAACACATTACAGTGCAAAGTTTACCAATCGAGAAAAGATATATGATCATTTTCACTCCAACGATCAAATCAACAATCAGATGAAAGAAAATTAGTACAAGAGATGGGTCGGGAAAAGGGTTTGGCTGTTGCTAGGAAAAAAAATTCTGATTGTACAATGAATTTACACATATCTATGGAGGGAAGTGGCTAAAGTGGGGTTAGTGGACGAGATAAAAAAGAAGTCGATTGATTTAAAAGGTCCATTTAAATTAATATAATTGATGTCGAGTCGATCAATATGAGATCACTTGTATCACATGCATGCCATGTAATTTCTAGATCATGTGTGAATGAATTTATTAACAAACAAATACTTAGACTCAAATAAATTTTGCACAATTGTAAAAACAGTGGTCACATATCATGTCAACCTTGTCATATAAATGAATATTTCAAATACAAGAAGATGAAATAACTTTTGATCTATCTATATCATGTTCTATTACAATGTGATATTAGCTTAATGGGACCAAACTGGACCATCTCCTATGGTTGTGACCATATCTTCCACAACGTCCCCATTTCACTGTTGGTTTCCCTTCTCTGGATGATCTCTTCCTTTTCTCAATTGGCCTTCCACAACTCCGTTTCTGGTTAGAAGCTAACACAATTTCATATAGTACTTCCTCAGGCATTGCCCATTCGGTTGGATTTCCAACCGGATGTATAGAATCTTCTTATGCATTTCATGTATAATAATAAGAATAAAAAGTATATGGATCCCTTTTTATATTTACAATTACCGCCAATGCCTGTGGACATGATAGCAAATCAACTTGTAGCATCCTATATGTGCATGTATGTTTCTCAATATCAACAATAAAAGTTGTCTTATTACCTCTAACAAAAAACACCGACTAGTTGGAAGGAGAAACCTGTGAGAATATAATCAAATGCATAGATTATGTCAGTTCAAAAAAGTATCTACCAAGCCACAGTCTTGAGGTGTATGTCACAAATATACATTTTGCAGGTCACAGTTGCACAGTTAATATCACAAGATTGTATGGTCAGGTCACATACATTAGGTTCAGGTCATATATATAGGAGGCGCATAAATATACAAGTATATGTTATCACAGATGTGGATTTCAGGTCACATTTGTTCATATTGAGGTCATATGAGTCATTGTGAACGTCAAATAAAAGCTTACCCTTAAGTTCTTTAAATCTATATTCATTTTTCTTATCTCATTCTCGTATATGCTTGTCAACTCTGTGAAAGTCCCATGCACATTGTCTTTGTATTTACAAAATTAGTTTTGTATAGTTTGTCGCAATGACTCTAGCATGTAACGACCCAAATATTTTTATTTTATTTTATTTTATTTGAGTTTAGATCGCAACCAAAATTTTCTTATTAAAGGAAAGGAATTTAAAACCGCATCGCATGCAATATATAACATCAAGTGACAATAGTTTACTAAAATTTGCTGTAGAGAAATTTTTCAAATCTCATAATTATTTATTCTCTTAAAAATGAAGACTTTTCCCAAAACCATAATATGTTCTTACATGTTTGGATATATCTCAAATTCTTAAATAAATCCTAGAATTCAATTTTATGTGTAACTGAGGAATTCCAACAACAACATATATACAAATATGCAATTTCGGTGACTTAGTCCAATGAAGCATAATACCCGTAACTAATTTATAATTTAAACATTGGGATCATAATTGGTAAAGAAAATAATTTTATGGATTTGGCGTAAGTGGCAGGCAAATGAAGATTTTTTTCAATTTCTCTGGCATAATTGATACAATGGTCCCTAACACTATGTTTCCTCTAATTAGTGGATAATTTTAATTAGCTACTTAATTTTATCGAATTCAACCAATAGTTAAATCACATGCTGGGTACTAATTGAATATGAGAAATCAAAATTAAAACAGGTTGTAATTTATATATTAGCCTAAGTGTACAAGAAATTGGTTCACGATGATATGTACTATAGATCAAATCAAATAAATTGTCTAATTCATTAAAAATGAAAGTGGTTTGTAAATAAACACCACTAAGATTATTGCTGGAAATAAAATGTTCAGTCACGTTACACCGGAATTTATTTATTGAGTTTCATAAACCTTGGCACAATGACCGCACCATATCGCCTGCCAACTAACGACCGATTCTAACTTGTGAGGAGTAGGGAAAATGGGTGAGTATGTGGGAATAC